TTTTTTTCTATCGCTTTTTTTGACAGAGTTTTGGAATTCCTCAGCACTTTGGCCTCTTCTACGCACTGGGTTTGGCACTTACAGTAGAGGGTATACTCAGCGCCTGTTATCACATTTGTCCAAGTTTTTCCAACTTCCAATTTGGTAAGTGATGGCACACATATGAAAGATAGTGTTCTCATTCCAGGTATTTCTATTGGTAAAGAAGACACACGATCGAGCACTGGAACACAGGCTAACACAGTCCACATTGGCGAGTAGGCGGTACAAACACAATTATTGATTTTCTACACGTTCAGAATTTTAGCTATTGTACATACGCCACAAGTAGCCACTCCATTTGTTGCTGTTTTTTTCCATCCCTGACGGTGGACTCCTGCAGGAGCCCGAAAGCTCAGAACAAAATACAATTCGTTCCAGTGCTCGATCGTGTGTCTTCTTCACACACATATGTACGTGTCCCGCGTTTGCTCGTCTCCTCACCTCTCGCTCACTGTCTTGTCTTTTTCTTGGTCTTCAGACACCGCCTACATGTACATGTTGGCGCTCATCCTGATGCTGAAGATCTATCAGACTCGACACCCCGACATCAACGCGTCGGCGCACTCTGCCTACATGGTCATGGCTCTGGTCATCCTTGTGGGTGTCACTGGCGTGGTGAGTTTCCTCAGTTTTCCCCTCTTGCAAGACTATGAGGGTGGGTAGTTGTTTGAGTTCTGCTGTGTATTCTCACAGCGAAAGACGACTAACATTAAGCGCATCCTGCATCTCAGGAGCAACCAACTCGTTGATCGCAGGCCCATTTGCGTCAGAACCCTCCTTACGGATGACTTGTGTAGTCCAACACATGGCAATACGAAGGCTCCGCCCAGTAAAAATAGGTGATCTTGCAACAAATTTCAGAAAGGGTAGTTATTCCCCTGTCCCGGCCTTAAAATTAACCTCAACATAAAACGAAATTTTAACCTTAACCCTAGCCCTACCGTAAACCTCACCCCCACAATTAGCATGAACCCATACCTTAACCTTAAACATGACGAGGAAATGGGAGTGGGGAGAGCATTCGGGGTTGGTTGAGTCCACGTTCATGTCGGCTCCCGCATCGTCTCGGCGTCTGTCATTGGCGTTATGGCGTGCGACCTTGGCACCGTGGCGTGCGTCATTGACGTGGCAGCGTGCGTTTCCCTACTTTATTTTTTTTCTTTATAAATCTGAACGTCATGTTCTTCATAATCCTCTTCTTTTTCATCATTATCATTTCGTAAGGATAACTTGGTTTGCCGCCTAAACAGGACACAGCAACAGGAACCGCCCACAATGTGTGTGGTTTTGCCTTAAATTCCGGGAAAATTGGGTTTAGGATAAAGAGGAAGGTTAGGATTATGTCAAGGGTTAAGGTTTGAGTTCCTGTTAGCTGTGGGGTTTAGGTTTAGGGTAGAGCCATGGTTACGGTTTAGTTTTATGGTAGAGTTAGTGTTGAGATTAAGGCATTGGCATATTTAACCTTCCTGAAATTTATCCCAAGGTCAATTATTTTAAGTGAACCGGGCTTTCATATACTTATGGTCTGTTTAGGTGGCCATAAAAGTCTTCCTTACGGAACCCTTTCCTAATACTTTTAAACGCAGACTGTAGCGATGACAATGGGAGGGGGCGCAGTAGGCAAATAGGCAGCCACACGCCTTATTTGAAGC